AATGATGAAGTCAGCCAGCAGGAGGAGTGCTGGGGAGGGGTAGTGACTGGGCCAGGAGAGGCTGGAGACGGTTCAGGGAGGAAGTGATATTTGGATTTGGTTTTTAAAGGATAAGTAGGAGAGTTTCCTGTAGAGAAAGTGAAGGAGAGAGGGAGGGGGCGGGGAAGCATTTATTTAGGGAACAGAAAGAAATTATGATTGAGGCTCGGAGTGGGACAGGGGAAGTGTAGGAAATGACACCAAAAAGGTTGAGACCAAGTTAGAAAAATGCTTATATGCCAGACTAAGGAGTTTGATTTATTCTTAGCGGTTCTAAGCAGGGAGTGAGGAGTGTTAAATTGAGGTTTGTTTTCCCAAAAAGATATTAATGGCAGTGTGGGGGATGGGTGAAGGCAGGTGGCTAGCGGGGAGACTGCTACAGGAGTACAGGTGAGGACCCGGCTGGCCTAGCTCAATGGTTGAGCTTCAACCTATGAACCAGGAGGTCACGGTTCGATTCCCAGTTGGGGTACATGCCCGGGTTGTAGGTTCAATCCCCAGAGTGGAGCGTGCAGGAGGCAGTCGATCAATGATTCTTTCTCATCAGTGATGTTTCTATCTCTCTCTCCCTCTCCCTTCCTCTCTGAAATCAATTAAAAAAAATATTTTTTAAAGAGTTCAGGTAAGGGATAATGAGGTTGTGAGCCCAATACGTAAGGTGAGAGAAGCAGGGATGCCAGAGTATTAGGAGGCAGAGTCCACATGACTTTGTGATCAATTAGAGTTGGGGATTAAGAGGGGAGAAGCAGTTAGGGAGCCTCGGGGATTTTGAGTTTGAGTGCCGTAGACAGATACCATAACCACAATAGAACTACTGAGGGAGAATCAGGTTTGAAGGCAAGGCTGGGAATGCTGTTTGAGTTGACTATTGGACAGCCAGGTGGATATGTTTGGAGGGAGCTGCTCAAACTCAGAAATGCTTAGCACTGTCTTTACATAGTTCAAGAGAATTCTGCTTTTCATAAGACATATACAGTATATTTAGTAGTGCATGACT